AGAAATAAGATTAAAAAATAAAAAAAAAATAAATGAGATTATTAAAAAGTCATCCAATTTTAAGATTAGCGAATTCTTACTTAGTAGATTCACCACAACCTTTAAATTTAAGTTACATGTGAAATTTTGGTTCTTTATTAGCCTTTTGTTTAATTATACAAATTGTTACTGGTGTAACTTTAGCAATGCATTACAACCCTAGTGTAGCAGAAGCATTTAATAGTGTAGAGCATATTATGCGTGATGTAAACAACGGGTGATTAATACGTTATTTACATAGTAACACTGCTTCAGCATTTTTCTTCATAGTTTACTTACACATAGGTAGAGGTATGTACTATGGATCTTACAGAGCACCTAGAACTCTAGTATGAACTATTGGTACTGTTATCTTTATCTTAATGATGGCTAAAGATAAGTGGCCAAATTGAATGTTAATTTCTCATAATAAATGTATCCAATATGACTCATTATCTTATTTCAGTAAATCTAGAACTAAAGCGTTATATAGAATAGGTCCACATAATAAGGAGGTTTTATCTATAATAATATGCGGTATGCTTGGTGACTGGTGAGCAGACCAAATTAAAGGTCAAACATCTCCAAGTGTAAGATTTAGTGTTGAGCAAGGAATAAATAATACTGCTTATATTCATAGTCTTACCTTATATTTTTATAGATTAGGTTATTGTTCTAATATTACTCCTCACCTCGTAAAGAAATCTGATAAAGGTACTGCAAGAGAGTTAGAAGAAAGGTTTAATTACAAATTAACTTTATATACTTTTACTTCCTTATTGTGAATTTATGATTCTTTTTATAAAGAGGTAAATGGAAAAAAAACCAAAGTTATACCTAGCTGAATAGGAGAATATATAACTCCTATAGGTTTAGCTCATTGAATAATGCAAGATGGTTCTAGACAAGCCAAACAAGGTATAAACATTGCAACTAATAGTTTTACTTATAAAGAATGTCTTTTTTTATGTAATATATTAAAAGATAAATATAGTCTTAAATGTACTGTTGTAAAAGCAGGATATCCAGATCAATGAAAAATAAGTATTTGAAAAGAAAGCATGACTGATTTAGTTGCAATAGTTAAACCATATATAATAGATGAAATGAAATATAAATTTATTGGTTACATTTAATATGAAATTAAAAATCAAAGTCCGTCTCTAATAAAAGTATATGCAATATATATATAGAAATATACTAGTAAGCGCTTAAAAAAAAGATAATTATTTTTTTTTTTTGCGTTACATTACTGTGAGATAGTATACCCTGACAGGGGTATAGGATAACTACTAGTTATCTGGCTATGCGGGTGAAAACGGTTAAAGACTTGATATCTAAGTTAAGACCGTCGGTTCTATATAGGATCGCTACAGACTGGGTCACCTGTGGGTATCTGAAATGATATCTAATGTACAGTCGGAAATTTCTATAACAAACGACAAAGTCGCTTGTTATACACAAGGCTTTAAAAGAGAAACATTATAAAGAGATTTAGCGGGTCTCGGGGACTAATGTTTTGATAAAGTACAGGGGCGTTATCAAGATAAAATAAAAGGATAATTAGCCGAAATTTAGACAGCTTTCTTGGGATACGTCTTGCCATACGGGCAAATGTCATTATGAGGTGCAACAGTTATTACTAACCTTATGAGTGCTATACCTTGAGTAGGTCAAGATATTGTTGAGTCAAATAATTTTACAGAAAACTACACTACAGTTTATTGCTTATCTAGTTTACTACCTACGATAGGTACTGTTAGTGCTAACGCATTAAAAAAAGGAAATAAAAATGTTAGATGTAACAAAAAAGAATATTTATCCATACCTCCTTCTTTTCTGTCTTTTTTAGCAGGATTGATAGACGGAGACGGTTACATACAAATAACAAAAACAACTAAAGGATTTATAGCCATTAAGCTAGTTATATCTATTCATTTAAAGGATATTTCAACTTTAGAGTATATACGTTCCGTTCTAAATTTAGGTAAGATTACTATATATAAAGATAATAAAAGTCCAACTTGTAAATTGATTATTAACAAAACTGATTTACAAGAAATTCTGTTCCCATTATTATTACACCATAACATATTTTTTTTAACTGAAACAAGAAATAACCAATTTAACACTGCTATGGTAATACTAGATAAAGACATAAAAAGGTTTGATCTTATACCAGATATAAATAATATGGTTAAAATATTTAACTTACCAGTAGATGCAGTAGATTATGTTAAATTAACTTTCTTTAAAAATTGAATAGTTGGTTTTACAATGGCAGAAGGGTCATTTTTTATAAAAAGTAATAATGACGGTTGTTTTCAATTGAAACAAAGAATGCATCCTAGTTTATTTGAATCATTTAAATTAGTGTTTGATACAAGTAGAAAGATAGATATTGAAAAAAATATGTATAATCAGTTTTCTGTATCTTCCAAAGCTGACATACAAACTGTTATAAATTTCTTTTCTTTTTCAGGTTTACATTCTTTGATAGGACTTAAAGGTATTTCTTATATAAAATGATTAAATGATTTAAGAAATAGCAATCGTTATGGTAATCTTAATTTTCCTTCCAACAAATAATTACATTCTTTCATTTTTATTTTCTTTTATCTGTATTAATGGGCTCCTTTGAATGGTAACATTCAATAGGCAAATGGGGAGAATTGCAAGAACATCTATAAATAATAACCTCCGATTTATAGATTATTTGCAGCGAAGCTTGATTCGGTATTATAAATGGATCAAGAACGTTCAACGACTAATGAGTGAGTAATACCAACAATAAGCTCGACACGAGTACCCCACAACCAATCATTAAAAACTATAGTTAATGATGCTTGGTTGAAGACATAGTCTAAACACCAAATATATATAAAATTGGTGAAAATAGGGATTAAATGCCCTATTAAAACGATTAATATTCGTTTATATCGTCATTTGAGGAGGTTTCAGTGTTAACAATGCAACATTAAATAGATTCTTCTCATTACATTTCGTTTTACCTTTCGTATTAGCTGCTTTAGCACTAATGCACTTAATCGTTTTACACGATACAGCTGGATCAGGAAATCCTTTAGGTGTATCAGGAAACTACGAAAGAATATCTTTTGCTCCTTATTTCATATTTAAAGATCTTATTACAATATTTGCATTTATATTTGTATTATCTTTATTTGTGTTCTTTATGCCTAATGTATTAGGAGATAGTGAAAACTATGTTGTGGCAAACCCTATGCAAACTCCTGCAGCTATCGTGCCAGAATGATACCTTCTGCCTTTCTATGCTATATTAAGATCTATACCTAACAAATTATTAGGAGTTATAGCAATGTTCGCAGCTATTCTTATATTATTACTATTACCTATTACAGATGTAAGTAGATCAAGAGGTATGCAATTTAGACCTTTAAGTAAAGCAGCTTTCTTTGTATTTGTTGCTAATTTCTTAATCTTAATGCAATTAGGGGCTAAACACGTTGAGTCTCCATTTATTGAATTTGGTCAAATAAGTACTGTTTTATACTTCTTCTACTTTACTTTTGTAATGTATGGTGTTACTGTTGTTGAAAATACTTTTGTGGATTTAAGACACAAAAAATAGTTTCCGGCGAACTTTTTTTTAATATATCATGATATATTAAAAAAAAAGTAAGTCATACAAGACGACTTAAACCTGCAAAAATTTGATTTTTTTTTTTGCTGGAAAAACTTAACAGTTAAATAGAAAATAACGGTTAGACTACCGTTAACTTGTTATGAAAATGGTAAAATTTGTTATTTATAATCCCTTGTGGTGACTATCCCAAAAATAAATAGTACTGTTCTATAAACAGATCATTTTTGTCCTATTCTTATCTTTATTACAAGAACATTAGTAGGATAAAATCTATATAATAACTCTCTCTAAATTTTTATAAAATAATGGTTATTTTACCGTTAACTTGTTATGAAAGGTAACACCTTACCAGATAGTATAACATATCCCAGTAAATAAATCGATATTAACTGGAAAATTGCACTGTATATTTATATTTACACAGCAATTAGAGGGAGGAGAAGATGAACCTATTTTTCATAAAGCCCCCATAATTATAATATTAAGTAAAAAGGTTATACTCATTACATATTCTTATTTTTTTTTACATATATCATATGGTAAAAAAAACTAAGGAAAAAATGTATGTCTATAAAAAATTTGTAAAGTGATAGCTTTATAAAAGCTAGCATTCGTTATATGGCATAAGTTATATGCCATATTGCAGAAAAGAGTTTATTACCTTACTTTATATACGGTGTGTTTTTAAAAATGTATAGCTGGTACATTATCATTCTATACGAATTAGAGGTATTTGTTCTTATTGTTTTATACAATGTTATTATCATCTTTACTTTTAACTCCTATATTAGGTGTACTTGCCATATTAATTAATAGGGATAATGGTGTTTCATTAAGAAATATAAAATTCATAGCGTTAACTACATCTATCTTAAATTTCTTTATATCATTAATAATCTTTATTTTATTTGACTTTAGTACAAATCAGTTCCAATTTGTGCAAGAGTATCATGAAATAAGTTATTTTGATTTTTATCTAGGTGTAGATGGTTTATCTATATATTTCATTCTATTGACTACAATAATTATTCCTATATCACTAGTATCGAATTGAAAATCAATAACAAAAGATGTAGAATCTTATGTTATTATAATACTGTTGTTAGAAACTTTATTATTAGCGGTTTTCTTAGTATTAGATATTTTACTCTTTTACATCTTTTTTGAATCTATTTTACCACCATTATTTATATTGATAGGAATATTTGGATCAGATAACAGAGTAAAGGCTAGTTTTTATTTATTCTTATACACATTAATTAGAGAAATTTATCAGTGTGAAAGAGCCAAACTCCGGAAAAGCCCTAAAGCTTTAGTAACCAAGGTAATAAAGGAAACTTTTTTACTGACCCCATTAATGACTGGGGGTATGGTAAGATCACTAAAGATTTCAGTAATGAAATGGGTTATCGCGGATCTAAATCAGATAAGGGTTACTTTATCTGTAAAAGAGCAACGAGTAGATGGTTCTTCAAAATCTAGAAATTTAGATTTTGTAAGGTGTACTCTAGTCGCTGGGAAACCAGTTTTAGGGAGAAAAATCCCTTTCCATCCTAATAACTGCAAAGTTGTAACCGGGCTTTTATCACCAAGAGCTTTTATACATACAACTAAATCTATAGGAGATAATCTCACTCTAAGTAAACAAGTAAACAATATATTTGGAGAAAAAAACTCTAATATAAAATTAAACCCTTTATTTGTAACCGGGTTTGTAGATGCAGAAGGATGTTTTGCAATAGGATTATTCCTTAGTAGTAATTACAAAATGGGTTATCAAACTCAAGCAATATTCAAAATTACTTTACATAAAAAGGATTTTAATTTATTATCTCAGGTTAAAGATTATTTTGGTGTAGGAACTATTACGAAACATGGTGACACCACTATAGAATATAGAGTAAAATCTTTAAAAGATTTAGATTTAATTTTATCTCATTTTGAAAAATATCCACTTATTAGTCAAAAATGGTCTGATTTAGAACTTTTCAAGTTCGCTATTTCATTACTTAAAAATAAAGAACATTTGACTAAAAAAGGGTTTAATCAAATACTTGGCATTAAGTCTTCTATGAATAAAGGTTTATCTGAGGAATTACAACTAGTTTTCCCTTAAATTACTCCGGTAAACAGACCTTTACTTATGGATAAAGATGTGAAAGATCCTTATTGATTAGCAGGGTTTACTAGTGGTGAAGGATGTTTTTTTGTTTACATACGTAATAGTTCTACAACTAAACTAGGTAAATCTATCACTTTGAAATTTCATATTGCTCAGCACAGTAGAGACACTGAACTTATTAAAAAATTTATCGCTATTTTTGGTTGCGGTAGAATTGAATTAAATTTAGATAGATCAGTTGTGTATTTTGTGGTGACAAAGTTAGAGGATATTACTTGTAAAGTAATACCATTTTTTGACAAAGCTCCTATTAAAGGTGTTAAAACCTTAGATTATGAAGATTTTAAAAAAGTGGGTGTGTTATTAACCAAAAAACACCACTTAACTGAAAAAGGTATAAATGAAATTAAGCTAATAAAATCTAATATGAATTTTCAAAGAGGTTCTTTTTAACAAATAACTACTACTAAACGTTATAATTTGCATTATATTCCATGGGGTGGATTAAACCGTCTAGTACGGTGTGGATTGAAGTAACCCTAAATTAAAGATAAACTAAAGTCCTTTTTAAGGATATATTAGTTACGTGTTGGGTTCTTTATTTTTACTATTATCTATATTAGCAATGTCATCTATAATGAGTACTACCGATTTTGATACTCTTTTTAAAGGAAATTTCATGTATTTAACACAACTTTTCTTATTTTATGGTATTTTTATAGCTTTTGCTGTAAAAACTCCTACAATTTTCCTAAATACATGACTTTTAAAGGCTCACGTTGAATCACCTTTAGGAGGAAGTATAATTTTAGCTGCTATTGTACTTAAATTGAGTTTATATGGTATACTTAGACTAATTTTACCTGTTTTACCTAAAGCTTATATGGAATATACTTATATAATTTTCCTAATTGGTGTTATTACTATTGTATACGCTAGTCTTAGTACATTGAGAACAATAGATATTAAAGAGCTTATTGCATACAGTTCTGTTTCACATGCTGCAGTTTATCTTCTAGGTGTGTTCAGTAACAGCATACAAGGTATTGAAGGTGCTATAAATTTAGGGTTGGCTCACGGACTAGTTTCACCAGGTCTATTTATATGTGCAGGAGGTGTATTATATGATAGATCTTCTACAAGAGTAATCTCTTTCTACAGAGGAGTTACTCAAGTAATGCCATTATTTGCTATATTATTCTTTATACTATGTCTTGCTAACTGTGGAGCTCCTTTATCTTTAAATTTCATAGGAGAATTTTTATCATTATATGGGGTATTTGAAAGATCATCTTTATTTGGTGTTTTTGCAAGTTCTTCAATAATTTTCTCTGCAGCATACACTATATATATGTATCAAAGAATAGCTTTTGGTGGAGCGTATTCAAGAATGTTTACCTTTAGTATACCGGATTTAACTAAAAGAGAATTTACTATCTTATTAATATTAGTTATACCTACTGTTTTATTTGGTATATATCCTGCACCAATATTAGACGCTATCCATTATTCAGTTTCAACTTTAATTTACCTTTTTGATGGTAACATAGTGTAATTTACACCGGAAGTAAAACAATTGTCTTTTTAAAATTAATTTGTTATGAAATATGAGCTGTGTACCATTTATGGTGCACCGGAAGAGCACCGGAAGAGCACCGGAAGAGCACCGGAAGAGCACCGGAAGAGCACCGGAAGAGTAAAACAATTGTCTTTTAAAATTAATTTGTTATGAAATATGAGCTGTGTACCATTTATGGTACATTTTAGAAAATAGTATAACATATCCCAGTAGATAAATGTTTTTTATAGCTGGAAGATTGCAAGATAGACTTATATTTCTACAGCAATAGGGGGAGAAGATTCATTTAGGATTTACCTATTATTATTAAATCCCCCATTAAAAAAAAAGTTAACTTACAAAAATACAATAGTAGAGTATTTTACATTTATGTATAATAGATGAACAATACGATATTTTAGAACACATACATTAATTTATATTTTTATACAATGAATTTATCACTAATTTTATTTACAATTGGAATTTTGGGTTTTGTTTTAAACAGAAAAAACATAATTTTAATGCTTATTTCAATAGAAATAATGCTATTAGCTATTACATTTCTAGTATTGGTTAGCTCACTTAGCTTTGATGATATATTAGGTCAAACGTATGCTATTTATATTATTGCCATAGCCGGAGCAGAGTCTGCGATTGGTTTAGGTATTTTAGTAGCTTTTTATAGATTTATCTCTTTTAAATCAATCCATCTATCCTTTAGTCAAGCTAAATCACCCATTAAAGCTCTTAATATCATTCCAAGTGGAATAAGAAATTATTCTACATCTAAACCCCTTAACTCGGTTTGGACCCCCTCTCTCTCTGAGAGAGGGGTAAAAATTCTTTAGATCCATTATTTATAACTGGAATTTTTGATGCGGAAAGTTCCTTTCTAATTGCAATGCTAAAGAATTCTAGATATAAAACTGGATGAAATGTGCAGGCCAGAATTCAACTAAAGATGCATAAAAAAGATAGATCTTTAGTATTGAAAATACAGGAATGTTTCGGAGGTATAGGACTTGTATCCCAACCCAATAATAATTCTACAGTTTAATTTAGGGTTCATTCTATTAAGGATATAACTAATGTAATTATACCGCACTTTGATAATTATCCCTTATTAACTAAAAAATATTCCGATTATATGCTTTTTAAAAATGTTATTAATTTAATGTTAGAAAAACAGCATACTAATCTAGAGGGAATACAAAAAATAATTAATAAAAGGGCATCTATGAATTGAGGTTTATCTGACCAATTAAAAAAGGCTTTTCCTGAAACTATTCCTGTTATAAGAGAAGAAAAAGTAAATAACTATAATACACTTGTGCATTCTAAATCGTGAATAGCTGGATTTTCAACAGGAGAATCTAATTTTTTTATGGCTATTAATAAATCTAAGACAAAAGACAATATATATGCTTCATTACGTTTTTCTATTGCTCAAGATTTAAGAGATGTAGATTTATTAGAGAGTTTTGTAGACTTCTTTAAATGCGGATATGTAGTTAGATATGAAAAACGTTCAATAGCTGAGTTTGTAGTTACAAGAATTGATGATATAATTAACCATGTAATACCTTTTTTTGAAGAATATAATATTGCAGGATAAAAGTACTCAAATTATTGTACTTTTAAAATAGCTGCTTTTATGGTTAAAAACAAAGAACATTTAAAAGACGATGGTCTTAAAGAAATCTTGTTATTAAAAAACAAAACGGGGATTGCTACTAAAAATAATAATGGAGATGATTAGGGGTTTGAGAGAAAATAGGTCAAAAAAGGTAGAGCAAACCTCTATCTAGTCTCATTAAGGCGAAATCTTCAAAATGCGGGGAAATCTTAAAGACAAATCTACCAAATTAATATAGTAATATGATTAATGGAACAGGTAATGACTCGTTGTATGGTAAAAACGGTTTGTATGAAGAAATGAAATAGATAATCCGCAGCTAAACATCAATATAGAAATATTGGTAAACAGTTCATCGACTAAATGGAGGTTGGTTTATAATTATATAATTATATAATTATATAATTATTTGCTTAAGGTATAGTCAGGCATAATAGAAAAATTATGGTAATATCCTATCCTTCCTAAGGGAATACAATTCCTATGGAAAAAAGGAGAAAACGAAGAGGAAGTATTAGTATTGAATTTAAATAATGTATCTAGCTATAATTATCTTACCACTATTAGGATCAATAGCTTCTGGTTTTTTTGGTAGAAAAATCGGAGTATCAGGAGCACAAATAATTACATGTACAGCTGTTGTAACTACAACAATATTAGCTGTTTTAGCTTTCTTTGAAGTTGGGTTAAATAATATACCTGTATCCATAGAGGTATTCAGATGAATTGATTCTGAATCATTAAATGTATCCTGAGGATTTCATTTTGATTCATTAACAGTTTCTATGCTTATACCTGTTTTAATAGTTTCTTCTTTAGTGCATATCTATTCTATAGGTTATATGAGTGAGGATCCTCACAATCAAAGGTTCTTTAGCTATTTAAGCTTGTTCACATTTATGATGGTTATATTAGTTACAGCTAATAACTATTTATTAATGTTTGTAGGGTGAGAAGGTGTTGGGGTTTGTTCATATCTTTTAGTATGTTTTTGATTTACTAGAATAGCAGCAAATCAAAGTTCTCTTTCAGCATTTTTAACAAATAGAGTAGGTGATTGTTTCTTAACTATAGGTATGTTTGCTATATTATGAGCGTTTGGTAATCTTGATTATGCAACTGTATTCTCATTAGCTCCTTACATGAATGAAAATGTTGTTACTATTGTAGGTATATGTTTATTAATTGGAGCTATGGCTAAAAGTTCTCAAGTAGGACTTCACGTATGATTACCTATGGCGATGGAAGGTTTGAATAGGGCCTTCCTTAAACTTCACTATATGCGGGAACATCCCGTTTTTATATTCTGGTCCACTGTTTACTTTGTAAGCTTCGGAAAAACCCAGAATGAGGGACAATCCGCAGGAAACCACGTTATTAACTTGGGCTCTTAAGAGACTACACGTGAAGCAATTACATTAAATGATAAAAATTTTTTTGAATGATGGTTAATAGGATTTGCTGAAGGAGACGGAGGATTTAGTATAGACAAAAGAGGCTATTTAGTGTTTAAAGTAACACAATGTAGCGTAGATGCACAAGTACTATTCTATATTAAAAAAGAATTAGGCTTTGGATCCGTAACAGTACAAAGCAAATTAAACCAAACTCATCAGTATAGAGTTAGAGATAAAGATAATCTTTTAAAAATAATAAAGATATTCAATGGTAACTTAATAACCAAAAATAAAAAACTTCAGTTTAAATCATGATTAGAAGCTTTTAATTTAAAATATAAAACTAATATTACACATATAGAATCAAATGGAAAAGTAAATTTATGTAATGCATGATTAT